AAAAAAAAAAAAAAAAAAAAAAAAAAAAAAAAAAAAAAAAAAAAAAAAAAAAAGAAAAATGTGGGTGGAAAACAAGAACAAATCCCAATTTCCCTCTGTTCTAAACAACCAAGTACAAAGTACTTGAACAAAATTCATGCGATTCTGCAGAATGCAAATGCCATTCATTTCCATTCAATCTAAACAAGAATCACATAAGAACAGCAATGGCTTTGTTTATGGATCATTTCCAGTCAGTTCTGTACCATATTATAACTTCTACTAAGGTTAAACCTTCATTTTTGTGCACTTTTTGGGCACTATGTTGGGCCCTTTTGCTGCTTTTGCTCTGTTTTAAGAGATGAAGTATGATTATTACATGGAAAGGGATAAATCTTCGCAAAGATTCTGCTTTGTCTGAAGCATTTGGAGATCCCCACCATTCATAGTGGGTGTGTTGTGGCTTTAATTAGTGCACCAATCTTTCTAGATTCCCTTTCATTATTAAAGCATTCAAAGCTTGGCCTTTGTGCTAAAGGGAACACAATTAACCCAACATTTGGATACCTAAAGACACTAAAAGTTAATTATAAGCATGTTAGGTTTCTGTTCTAAGTCTGGTTTGAGATTGGTACTCGAAGAGATTTTTATTCTCGTGATCATTGCAGTTGTTTGGCGATGTTGTTCGCTGTTGTTAATGCTCGTTGAGAAAAAGTAGCTGATCATGTTAATCTCACGTCAATTTTTCATTATGTTTTGTGTTGAATGTTCAAAAAGATAGGTGAAAATTACTCGTTGTTAAAAGGTTCAAAGATCAAAATTTAAATCATACTTTAATTCGATGAGTTTAGGTTGTTCGGCAAGTATGAATATACTAATAGGCAAGTCTTGAGAATCATGTGAAACTATGATCTAATTTAGTTAATTTACTCGTTTATGTTCATACCATTAATTAACTAAGAAAGCAATTACTTGTACATATATTTGATGACAACCAATATCACTTAGTTATTAAATTTGACTATTCTTGTTTTGGGATATAAATTATATAACGTCAAACGAAAGCCAAAAAAGTCATTGAAAGTATGCAAAAATAGGACTCGACTTTCTTGAAAGCGCGTTTGTCTTTATCATGCAATCCCACATGCTCATCATCATGCTCTTTATATGGCTCCAAAAGGACAACAAGTTTTTACCAAATTATGTACAAATGAAATGATTTGATTTATTCGTTTTCACACCTTATTGATGACTCGAACAATATGTTCAACTTATGTTCAACTTATTATAATATTGATGACTCAAACAATATGTTCAAGGTATACACTGGTTGGACTAAACAAAATCTTTCAAATCAACTAAAAAATTCTTTGAATTAGTTAGATCAATGACTCGAGCAACTTAAATAGAATTCACAGCTCAACCCACCATTAAAAAATTCAACCGAACTGAGATCGAGTAGAATTCGATCAACGTCCCAACCCATTACAAGAAGGGGATGACGTGTCGATGGTATTAAGTTCTTCGATTTGGACAAAAATACATTCACATTATCTACAAGGATTTTATTAAATTTTGTTACTCAAAAGTCATTATCCCAACAAAATTCACCCAAAAGTTTTACAGTGATCTCAAAGGCACCATTCCAATGCATTTTTGTTTTATTCTCTTTTGAAAGAAAAAAGGCTGATAGAAACAATGTAATCACCTTGGATGCCTCATTTGTGTCTTTCCTCGCCTCTGTTCTTACCAACAATTTTGTGATCTTCCATATCTGTTTCGTTACGTCGGGTTAGCGGCAACAACCCCCATCGTTCGCTTCTTTGAGTGCTCGAGTTTTGTCCAAAATTTTCTGTTTCACCACGACAGATCCATTTTCTAGTAAACTCGGAACTTCCAGTATCTGGATTGTAATAAACCAATTTAGATCATGCCTAAAAGCCACAAGATTAAATACATTCGACATCGATGGTCGGGTTTTGAACTTTATAGCCAACCCCACAGAACAGAAATGAAAAAGATATCACAAGCTCGAGGACGCATCGAACCGTTTCATTATAGCTCCTAAACTAGTACTTGTGGCCATTCTTAGGAGTTTCTAGTTCGAAACTAACACAATGAAGTTTGGAAGACGATTCAAGTAAAACATGAGCATCTTAGTGTCGGAGTGTTACCTTTGAAGAGAGTTCTTTAAAGCATCTATCGACATTTTCTCGAGTTCTAGCACTGCACTCGAGAAACAAACTTTGATGCTCCTTGGCAACGGCCATTCCTTCTTCTGTCGAAACAGCTCTTTCGCTACCCTGTCGATATTGAAGATTCCTTAAAATGAAGAGTTTGAGGTTTGAACGACGGTAGGATCATACAACTTACTCGATCGACTTTATTTCCAACAAGAATTTTTATGCACTCATGATTGGTTAAATACATCTCTACTTCCTTCGCCCATACGCCCATCAAGTTCGTAAACGTCTCCCGTCGGGTAACATCGTACACTATCAGGAAAACATAGATAAGTATCAGCCTCGTGAAGTGTTCAAACTGAATTCAATACATTCAACTGTGACAACAGAACATGCCATGAGAGAGAGTTTCCAAAATAAAACGTATAAAACCGACGCGTCGCCACCTACTATTTCAACCCCCCCCACGAAACTCCCTATTTATTTTTGTGGGAATCGAGGCAAGGAGGTTCCCGAGGGGAATTTTCCCGTTTTTTTTTTTAAATAATCATTTCAAAGAATTTTTTAACGGATAAATTTCGGTCATACCTAGGATGATTCCATGTGCACCTCTGTAGTAAGAACTTGTCAATGTTCCAAACCTCTCCTGTCCAGCTGCAAACAAGAACAAAGGATAAGAAATTGTATATTAAATGGGTGAACGAACATTTCATAGAGTAAGCGTAGCATCGAAGCAGAAAAACGAAGAAACTTTCTGTATCGAGCAGCTGGAACAAGCTAAAAACGTAAACATGTGACCTGAAAAACGGGTAAATCATCCAGTTACCTGTGTCCCAAATCGTTAGCTTCAATCTTTTTCCACCAACTGTTACCATCTTGATCTTGAAATCCACACCTGGAGCCATGCATGAAAAGAAGATCAATGGAATTAGAATAATTTATTCATATAAAAGACAGAATAAATCTTTCCGATGTTCCAAAAAAATTTGTTTCTTTCTGGTCTGAAGTTGTGGGAACGAATCGTTTGTTTTATTGAAGCTTTATTACGGGGTCTTGGTTGACCCTCTATTTTCAACCATTAGAGCTGGCGTTGACCAGCTTCGCAATACAGACGGACACAAAAAAACGCAGGCTGCGGAAATGCAAAAGAGAAGAGTGAAGATTTCCGACCCAGTACTATAACGAGCCTGGCCACACACACCTCTTTTTAACCGACTAAAGCCAGATCCACTACATGGCTATAATCAGCGAAAGATCGAGAAAGAATCATCAACCCACCTTGTTTTGGGCAGCGGAAATGCAAAAGAGGAGCAAAGATTCCCGACCCAGTACTATAAGGAGCCTGGCCACACACCTCTTTTCAACCTACTAAAGCGAGATCCACTACACGGCTAGAATCAGCGAAAGATCGAGAAAGAATCCTCAACCCACCTCGTTTGTGTACTGGAACTCTATCTTAATAGTAATAAGAAACCGAGGTGGGTAAGGGAAGGGATATAACTCAGCGGTCTTGAACAATGGAATGGATGAACACTATGTTATTATAGGTGTAGGTTCCAATTCTCTCTACAAACTCCTTAACAATGAGAACCTTATGAGCACCTACATCACCAAGTACAATCGACTCGTTTTAAGGAATAATATAGCTCTCTAAGTGTTAATGGAAGCATAGTTCAACTAGTTGAGGCATATGACCACGACCAACCCTTCATAGGTTCGAGTCCCGACTTGTTGAACTCTCTCTCTATATGTATACACACACACATAGCTCAATTAGGTGAAGCATATGTCCTCTCCCAACAATTCGGAGGTTTGAATCCCGACTTGTTGAACTCTCTCTCTATCTATACACACACACACGGCTCAATTAAGGGAAGCAATGTACTCGATCAACAATTCAGAGGTTCGAATCCCGACTTTTTGAACTCTCTCTCTCTATATACACACACACAGCTCAATTAGGTGTAGCACATGTCCTCGACCAACAATTCAAAGGTTCGAATCCCAACTTATTGAACTCTCTCTCTCTCTCTCTATATATATATATACACACACACACACACAGCTCAATTAGGTGAAGCATATGTCCTCGACCAACTAGTCTGAAGGTTCGAATCCTGACTTTTTGAACTCTCTCTCTCTCTCTCTCTATATATATATATATAGATACACACACACACAGCTCAATTAGGTGAAGCATATGTCCTCGACCAACAAATCAGAGGTCCGAATCCAGACTGGTTGAACTCTGTATGTGTGTGTGTGGCTTGAACTCTATATATGTGTGTGTGGCTTGAACTCTATATATGTGTGTGTGGCTTTCCAAAGTTCTAAACTAATCATGATTTGAAACTAAATCTACTCAGCTACAAAATTGATTCGAAGCCAGTAGCTCTCATTGTGTGAGATCCCTCCAACCGAGAGGAACGAAACGTTCCTTACAAGGGCGTGAAAACCTCTCCCTAGTAGACACATTTTAAAGCCGTGAGGCTGACGGCTGATGGCGATACATAACGGGCCAAAGCGGACAATATCTGCTAGCGGTAGACACTCACGACAACACTTTAGCCCTTGAAGATGGAGAAACCATTCTAACATATAACTCCCAGCTCAAAAAACATTCCAAACGCCAGAAATCAATCAAAAAACTACGATCAGCTGACTAAGAGCAAAGAACAACAAAAAGAAAAAACAAAAATATTCAACCAACATGTATTCATCCAACTATCAGAACCATCGCGATTTCTTAGATGATTCAAATAGGACCAAAACTCAGAACAGAGCATCTGAGTTGTAGCAATTTCATGATATCCACAAGAACATGCATAGATATAATGAGAAAGACATAGAACAAACCGATTGTGGGAGACAGATCTTGAACAAAGTTGGATATGTAACTGAGGAGAATACTGCTTTTCCCAACGCCAGAATCCCCAATCAACAGTATCTTGAACGAGTAATCATAGCTACTGCTTCTTGCTTTTGAAGAAGAACCCATCATTTCTCCTTTCTACCTTTTCAACTCTCTCTCACAAAAACCCTTTTCCAATAACAAGAAGAACAGAAAGAAATCAAAACCATCAAAAAAAAGGAAATGGAATTGGTGAGGTTATGAGAAACGAAAACGTAACAGAGAGAAGGAGCTGGCAGTAGCCGGTAGTGTACGTGTGTAAATTATAGCGTTTGGACAAACTTGCCCTTTACCTTCAATGGGCTGTGTCCGCTTTTTGCAGATTCTATGGCCTGCAACATTATTTGTCTCATTTCATCTCAAAATTCTTCCATTTTGTCCACAATTTTTCAAGCTTTTGAGGGTTTTTATTTGATTCAAACGTTTATATGAAGAACAGGGTGTTTGAAATTTGAATGGATCATTGAAAGAGAGAATGAATCGAGGAAGAGAATCAAGAAATGGGTGTTTTTTTAGATGAAATATTTGGGTTTTTGTTGTTGTTCACGTTTGATTTTGACTGGGTTTTGGTTGAAATAAAGAAATGAAGTAATGATAAAGAAGGGACAGATTTAGAAGCAAGAGAGCGGTGTCATGGAAAATGGATTGGCATTGCCTAAGCTCAACAAGTGTTCTTCATGCTCCTGCCACTCAACAACTTCTTACCTGCCCACCTCATCATCTCTCTCACATAACGAAACATAAGCTCACGAGACAAGTCTCAATTTGACAACTCGACAATAGGGTAATACCTGATATCGAGAGGAGAATAGATAAGAAGTCCACTAGTTACGATCTAGCACTATGTTATAGTATCGAGACTAGACTAGACTGTCCTGCTTTCTTCCACCCACGGATAACGGTAATATGTAACGGACCAAAACATACCATAGTAGTATCATAATTTTTATTGTAATACTAAAATAACTTGAAAAAATATAAATTAGCAATTTATTAGAATTTTTATCTTTTATAATATAAATTATATTGAAAATTAGAAATTATCAATTTAAAAAATTATTTGGAGTGAATTTTATTTTTTTAAATATAGCTTGAAAAAATTTCCAATAATTGTTCAGAATATTAACTCAAGAAGCAATAATGTTGTCCTTTACAATCTGGCCCTTACTAAGGAAGTATTTGGAAAAATAGCCTCTTTATTATCATTACGTAAAATTGGTCCACTTTTGGAAATAGAATAGGCCCAGCCCAGACAAAAAAATAACATCGACATAATGGGCCACTGGCCCAGTAGATGTCTCAAGGTCAAACATTGGGCCAGCATGAGGTTATCCAATGGGCCCTACTAGTTTCAGTTGACATGTTTGGGCCTGGTTGGCCCAAATGTTTTTATTTTGAATATTAAATAACAAATACAACATTTGAAACTAAAACCACTTGGAAAAATATAGATATTCCTTATTTAATATATCTAAATAATTTTAAAAATAAATTAATCTCAAAAAAGGAAAAAATTATTTTTCTTAAAAATTACAATTTTAAATTTATTTAGTCAATTCAATTGAATTGATTGAGTCTTATTTATTTATTTTAATTGCTCATTAAATATATTAATGAAATTAATTTTAATTTAATAAGGTAAAGTCAATTAATTTTTTTTAATATATAATTATAATTTATTGATGCATATTCTATGGATAATATGTAAAATTTTCTAAGATAAAGGCTCACAAATGTATGGTCAAAAGTTTAGGTTCAAATTTATGGTGACATTAGGCAGCCACCTTCATTTATATATATATATAATTCTTATTGTTTTTAAAATTACAATTATACCCCTATAAATCCTCAATAACTTTTATATTTTTTTATATACTTATATTTAAAATTTAAAATTTTAGCTGTTTATTTTTATTTTTATTCAATTTTATAGCTAATAAAATTGAGTAAAAAACTTAAACTTTATTTAGAGATATTTATTTATTATTATTTAAAGGAGAGATTAGAGATGGTTTGACCGTTTAACCCTTCGATGCATATAATCTTGTGATGAAGATTAATCTGACGGATGCAATTACGTCACGGTAAAATTACCAATCCGCCACTGTCCACTAAGAAGTAGTCCACGTGTAAATATCTGACGCTCGGGTTTCACCCAAAGCGGTCCCACCGCTAGCCAATAGCGTATACGTTCACCCAGAAAGTGTGACAGACGAGTGATTTTAAGGGTTCAGTAATTCCCGAACCTTCTGAATTAAGAATTGAAGAACCAATTGACGAAGAAAGAAGATGATTAAATGGACTTCTTGTATCGTCAATGGTACGACACCCGGCCTCCTTTTCCCTCTGTTTTTCCTCTTCCGCCTTCCGATCGTTTCATGCATATGATTTTGTTTGATTGAAAATCATTGGATTAATTTCTGTAGATCATTTTAGAAAACTTGATTTGAATCCAGTTCCAATTTTCGCTTCAATTTTGTACGTTCTACCTCTTTGGTCTTCTGATTATCTTGCTTATGGGCCGTGATTCTACCTCTCTTGCTCCGGGGTTTCGATTTCACCCCACCGACGAGGAAATCGTGCGATACTACCTTAGGCGCAAGGTTTCCGGCAAGCCCCTCTGTTTTGATACTATCTCCGTCGTTGACATATATAAATCGGAGCCATGGGATCTTCCTGGTAAGATGTCTTCCATTTCTCATTTTAATGTGTATGTTTTGGCGGGAAGTCTGATGATCGAGTTGTTTTTTGTTGGGAATTTTTGTTTCAGAGAAGTCGAAGCTGAGAACCAGGGACTTGGAGTGGTACTTCTTTAGTCCTCTGGATAAGAAGTATAGCAACAGTTCGAGGACAAATAGAGCTACGGAGAATGGATACTGGAAGACGACCGGGAAGGACCGGCCGGTGCGTCATAACTCCCGAGTAGTTGGGATGAAGAAGACTCTTGTTTACCACAGCGGACGGGCGCCTCGCGGGGCTCGCAGCAATTGGGTGATGCATGAATATAGGCTTACAGACGAAGACTTGGAGAAAGCTGGGGTGGTGCAGGTGAGGATTTTGAAAGTTTTCGTTCTCTCGCTGTGTTTTGATTCATGTTGAATTTATTTTGATGTTGTTTTGGATGGGCAGGATGCTTTTGTGCTTTGTAGGATATTTCAAAAGAGTGGTTCTGGGCCTAAGAATGGAGAACAATATGGAGCTCCATTTATCGAAGAGGAGTGGGAGAATGATGAAGAGTTAACTCTACCTGGCGAGGAGGCTGTGGTGAATGAGGGGTTGGTTAATGTTGATGATGATATGCATTTGGAAGTGGACGAAATTGTTCAGGTTTGTTCTTCGTTCAATATAGCCAGCGACCTTCTTTTACTAAATTTTCCCTCGTCAGTTCAGTCTTTCAATTTTTGAATTCTTGTGAATGATATATATATATATATCAGACTGTACAAAGTCTACAGCTAGTAAATATTATTTTCTGCCCACAACTAGTAGATATTGTTTTCTTTGGACTCTCGCATTTGGTAGGGAGAGGTTTCCACACCCTCATATCTCCATCCCGACCAACATGGTATCTCACAATTCACCTCCTTCGGGGCTAGCGTCCTTGTTGGCAAACCGCTTTGTGTCCACTCCCTTCGAAGCTTAGCCTTCCTCGCTGGCACATTGCCCGATGTCTAGCTCTGATATCATTTGTAACATCCCAAACTCACCATTAGTAGATATTGTCCTTGAATTTTCCCTTTTGAGCTTACTCTCAAGATTTTTAAAACGAGTTATATATTACAAAGGGTTATCGAAATCGGTATCCTCTCAGCACATTGAAAACAACTTTAAATACTCTAATCATGTTCCTTAATCTTTACTTTTGAGGAAATCTGTGTACCTTACGTGCTTCATATTACATTAAATCTTAAACCAAGAAATAAGAACAAATCAAAGTTACAGTTATGATCTGTTGAAATGTGTGTTGATTTTTAATTAATTTGTTCCCTTGTGCTCGTTTACATAGAACTTTCAAGGTAATTAAAGATGCTTTGTTCTTACTTTCTGCGCAGCAGTGTTTGGATGGTGAACTTCCATTTGAATATGATCAACCTCTGTCGAACTATCTTCAAGATACTATAAATCCTGTTGAGCTACCCAATGTGCTTGTTGAAAATGATAACAAACCATTGGAGCTACAGCATAACCACGGATTCTTTCAATTACCAGAGCAATACGAAATGGGTGGGAATTCTGAAAAAGATAAGTGTTTTGCTGAATCAAGTGATAATCTTAAGGACGAGGATATTGATTACTTACTTGATGAGCCTTATCCAAGTGTTCCAGACGATCTCGCCCTCAATGAGGAATTATTCCTAGAGGCTAACGATCTTTCAAGTCCAGTTGAAACTGATCCAACCGGTTTCGACATTCTTGAAGAGTATCTTACATTCTTTGATGCAGATGATAACTTGCAGCTGTCATTTGACCCGACAGAACTTTTGGGTAGCGAAGTGCCTATTTCTGGCCAAACAATTCCTGAAGAGGTAATTGTTATCTTCCCAAGTACTACTGTCGGGCATTTGGGATTTTACTTTGAATCTAACTTGAATTAAACTACTGAATCTCTGTACAGAAAGTAAATGAAGTGGCAGAAAATGAGTTCTTGGCTACCAAACAGACGTCGGTTGCTTCCATCAATGATGCATCCACTTCAAAGCTAAACACTCAGGCTGATGAAGCAGGTTCAGGTAGAATTCTCAATGTTAAAATAGTTAGAATCAAGATGGTAGAAACTTTTTCATGATAACTCAGACAAAGGAGGGTTTTTTTTGTTCTAGATTCGACATTACCATTCCTCAAATGTGTCGGTTACCTGTTGGGTGACATCCCTGCACCTCCTGCATTTGCTTCTGAGTATCCATCAAAGGACATGGCCATTTGGCTGAATTCAGCAGCACAGACCTCCAGTTCAATTCATAGGACTGCTGGAATGATCCATATAAGTAACTCGACATCAAATTATGATCTGGTGAATACCTTATATGGAAAGAATGGGGATGTTGACCTCATCCTTTTCTCAGCTGGACATCATCACCACGGTGAAAATGATGAAATGATCGATGCACTATCTCAGAAGAACGGGATTATGGGAACTCGAGGAGGCTTCTTGTTCTTCTTTCTGCTGTTCTGGGTCCTAATACTCTCAGTTAGCTATAAAGTTGGGAGGTGTATCTATTCGCATTGATGCAGAATCAAAAATTTGGCTGTGGTAATGAATAAGACTTTAACTAGCTGCAAATCTCCCTCTCAAGCAGCCAAGAACAGCAATCTTGCATATTTGTTACCGCCGCTGGAACGTTATTTAAACGGAGATGACATGGAACCATCCCCGTCCCCGTCCCGTTCCCGCCCTGTTCTCTGGGGTTTGGCTTTTAACTTTATACTCTTTTGGTCACAGAGCTGTTTTACACACAATAGGTGGATGTGGGAAGCAGGTTCTGGTTGTAGCCACTGTATGGAGAAAATAATATTTATGCTGCATATATTACGAAGGTTATATTTGACTTCCTTTTTGGCGTTTTGATCTTCAGAACCTTGCTTTTTTCATGGTTATAGGTATATGATTAAGAAAAGGGAAACAGAAGCTTTCATCACCTGAATTTGTTGATGGTTTTATTCAAGCAGAAAGATATGGTCGTTGATTCGGGTATGTTCGAATTAGCTTCGCAAGTGATTATAATCTACTTTTTAAGAATCTAGGGTTTGATAACACAAATTAGTCACTAATATTCTCAAACAAGTTTAAAGGTGATTATTAAAAGAATAATTTTGAGGTGATTTTTGGTCAATCGTTTTAGAATTAGTTTAAGAAACTATATACTAAGTTTTTTGAAATCTTTTGAATGTTGTGTGTTCCAGGCTTCTTGGTAGATAGATTTTTTGGAATCATAAAAATCTTTGATTAGAAAGAGATTCCAACTCAGAGATCTTTTGAAGTTTTGAGAAGAGTTACCAAAGGAACTAGTCCATCTCTATCAACTGTTGAAAAAGGATTTCTTTGAGGGTGTAAGATTTAAATATCGACTTGAATTCCATTGTAGATAAGTCTAGTTCTCGAGTGCTTTTCCTTGAGCTAATATTCTTGTACAAAAGCTCAAAAAGTTCAAAAATATCGACTTGAATTCCCTTGTAGATAAGTCTAGTTCTCAAGTGCTAATCTTCTTGTACAAAAGCTCAAAAGGTTCAAGTGGTTAAAAGTATCAAGTAAATTCTTTTACTAAAGAATAGAAGAACTCTAGATGGCCTAGCGTTTGTGAAGCCCTTCTCTTGGCTCTTCAATCCTAGTGTACGTAAGTTCATGTCCATCTATTCTCAAAGTAGTCATCTATCAAGCAGCCAAGAACAGCGATCTTGATTTTTTTTTTTTTTTTTTTTTCCTTTTGTAAATATCAAGTTAAGTTGAAGGGAAAAGAAAAAAAAAACAAATTGAAACACTATTAACGAATGATTTTACTTTTCAGAAGAGAAAATGACAATGTGCAATAGAAATCAACAGCAATCGATCTATTGATTACTAACTTTTCATACAGTTTTCATCAATTGCGAGAATTTCGATAATGCCAGATGCTACAGAAACGAAATACAAGACATCATTTCCATGATAGCCAAATGGGGAACACTCCCAAATATCAATGAAGTATTGACAAGTGAACTAAGATGAACATGCAAAATCAGAGAAGACCCTCCAAAGAATTAAGTGTAAGAATAAATGTTGAAAAAGAATACACGCCTAGTTACCTGTATAGTAGCCAGAGAGAACAACACACTTCATCCTTTGCACCAATCCGATCGAAGTTGGTTGTCTCTGTTGCGTGCCAATCTAACAAATCAATGTTGAGATTTTTCATCACAACATAATTGAACTCAGTTTCACAACACCATGGCTGTTTAAAGGTGGTCGCCTTGCTGGTGTGGAACAATCAAACTGGATCTCAAGGACTAGCTGCAACCCCTGGCGATCCAGCGATCCACCGCCACACTCTGCCAGAACCTTGTCTCTGAACTGATGAAGCAGCCTCCATTTGTTTCTCCAGTGCAGACTTTTGTTCCCTTAGGAGTTGGACCTCATTCTCAATGGATTGCATTGATTCTAGCAACTTTTGTATTTCAGCTATTTGTGCCTGTTGGATCTCAATCGGGAACAAACAAAGAAAATGATGCCTAAATTAAGATCTTTTAATCAATATGATCACCTAAAGAGAGGAAAGTACGTAGATGACCAGTTTTATGATGAAATCAACCTCCAATTTAAAGCATCTTGATCGCTCAGCTATTAACTGACCTTGTACTGACTGTAATTCCTGAGATAAAAATTCAACAATCATTGAGCTCAGAACCAAATATGAAAACAATATAACTTTGAAGTGTATATTTGACTCCAAACGTCATACCTTAAACAGCTCTGCATGAGTATTGTTTACCTTACTAATCTCTTCCCTAAGTTTAGAATTTTCTCCTTTAACTTCAGGAAGAGTTAGTTCTAGCTTAGCTTTCTCTTCTCTCATGGCCTCAAGTTCAATGGCACCATTTGATTGAGATTGTTTTTCTTCTTTTCTCTTAGAGACACCATCTTCAATTCTCGCAAGGTCCAACTTTTCAGTCTTGGCTAAGGCATATGCAGCAGTAACAGAAGCTGCCGCCGCTGCGGCTGCGGGTGATTGGAATATTTTGGGACGTGATGAGTCTCTTGGTTTCGGTCTCATGATAAAAACCTACGAACCATATAACGGCATGGAAATAAGTTACAATAACAAATTCTCGTCAAGAGCTCATATAAACACAAGGATATGCATTATTTGCCTAAAACATACCTCATTGTTATACCTTCCATTGTAACCGCCAAAAGCAACCAGATATTTCTCTTGATCAATTGTAGCCAAACTGATACTGATTCCCTACTCCCACAATGCAGTGGTAAGTATTAGTAAAATACTAAGAAGATCACATACGTTATTAATGGAGACACTAGAGTTGCATTGCTGCATCAAGGGAAATCTCAATCGAAACCCTATTCATAACGATAACACCGTTGTTGTATGCGTATATTTCTCTTTCTAACCACTCCCCCCGAGTATATGCTTCAACTGGAATTAAACAAGGGTAGAATGATACAATAGAAACTTCTGGTAAAATGTCCATCCGTAACCCAGCAGATAAAGTACATTACATAGTTCGTTTTAGCCGATAAAGTACATTACATAGTTCGTTTTAGGGACTGGTTCCTTGAACTTACCTTGAGAGCTTCCTTATAAAAAAAAAATTTTAAAAAGTTTCAAAAAGTTTATTTAGTCCATGTTTTTCCACTAGTACAAGAAATATCAGTACTTAGTTGGAAATTATTCCAAATTCCAGGCCAGTACTCTTTTCTTGGGGAATAATGGTTGCATGTGTCCTATTTCTTGGGAAGAAAAATAAGTCATACATATTTCATATTACCGGGAAATTAGAGGCAGGCAACAATCATCAAGGGTGCTGCAAAAAAAAGAGAGAAAAAGGACCATAATAGTTTGCACACACACACACACCAGGACCAATCAATTTGATCTCAAGATGTTATCATCAAAATTCATACCTAGTGCTTGCAACCATAGGACAAAGTTCCACATCTAATATTGATAAAGTTGAAAAATTAATAGGAAACAGTTGAGGCAAGAATGTATTCTGTAATCACCTCACTAGCAAGGGGTTCTCTTTGCTTTACGCTTGTCAAAGCTAACCAAGAAAGCTTAGACATATTTAGCACCATTGTCTCTGGGCAACCTGAAAAGGAATGTCCACATATTCATAACAATCTTTTAGTAATTTAATATGTTAAAGCTTATATAATAATTTAAGAAACTCTAAATACCATTTTTATTGTCACCACCACCAACTATATACCAGTTCTCGTCAATGGTTATACCAGCATGGCCTGCCCTAGGAGTCACCAAATCACCCTGTATTTGTGGCTGGGACCACTCCATCTGCAGCATACATAACATTATAGTGCTTCTTCTTGTTTTCTTTTTTTTTTCTTTTTTTTTTTTTTTTTTTTTTTTTTTTTTTTTNAGATATGCTTTTTATTATTTATTGCTCATCAGGAAAAAAAAATAATTTATAAAATTTGACGAAAATCACACATTTTTCTCCATGCCTTGTTAAGCATAGAGAAATGGTGATTATCATTACATTAGCTAGTGAAGTGGAGCTACGTTGGTGAAAGTACCCAATATTTATTAGCAAGCGCTGACCAAGAAGAGTTAAAATTACACAACTTTCTTGAATACCTTTCTGTATGTCTGGCTGATACCGGACTACTAAACCCAATCCAACCCCCACTTGTTTTCCTTCTACGGTAGAATATATTTCTTTGGTCACTTATTAGAAAAAAAAAAAAAAAAAAAAAAAAAAAATCTTTGAATGGTTAAAGGAGAATATATAATTCCAATTACAACCTCTGGACCATTAAAAATAAGCACCATGGCACTCTACAGTCTACCCGAAAAAATAAGGTAAAAATAGTTTTCTAGCACATAAGCGATAGACAGGTGACACAATTCAATAATTCGATCAGAGGTCTGATGGTTTTAGTTTCTAACATATGACACGATCAAATACTGGACGCAGTGATGGATAGCGAGAGGAGATTAAATGTCACTTATAAAAAAGATTTAAAACCATAAAGCTTCATGCCACCAACAAAAGGAGAATTGGCTAGCTTGACCGGAAGTCTTAAGCAGAGGAAGCTTGTGACCTTGTGCTGGATCTGGAGCTCCAGCTATCAATTTTTCAATAATCAGGCAAGCTCATTGACCGGGCCCCATTGAAGTAGCTGACTATCCAGCCTACCAACTATGGTCTTCAAGGCAAAACTAAAGGTAGGGTTTCCTTAATTCTAGTTGACTTGTCATAATAAGTATCTTCAGAGTCCATGGGGGTACAAATATAAATTTGAAAATAAGCCCCAACTTTTAGAACACGTTGTTAAAATCTGTGGATTAAGAGATCTCATGTTCTTCTATTCTAGAATAACTGTAATCACTCATTAAACAGGTATTAACGCAACTACTACAAATGAAGTTCAATTTTTTCTAGAAGATCAACGACCGTCCAAGAATCTCAAAACTTCAGTTCAAGCATTAGTACTGCCAGAAGTAAAGCCAACCACAGTAGTTCCAGACTATGGTTGTAAAAAGACTAGCATAGATTAACATGATTTCTCTATGAGGGCATTGCATTTTACAAGTTTAATACCTTTTATGCAAGTGCTAAAATAAAAAATAGTTGTATCAATATTGTCGTCAAATATTCTAGTCTTTTTCTTTATGGTACACAAATTGACAGATAATATATGTGAATTGGTAGACAAGCCAAGAGAACAATGAGTCAAGTCATACATGCAATCACTTCAATGAGAAAACATATGCAAGAGAAGAGGGAAATACTCACAGTACGAAAATCCAGCACATGAAGATCACTAAAAAAGGTTGAATGAGAACAACCGCCAAAAACTAGGAGGTAGGTTTCTGCATGCACTGCAGTTGTATGATCGAATCTTGGAGCTGGCGGTGTCAGCCTATCAAAAACCAAGGAAATGATGAAACAGTCTCCCAAAGTAGACAAACACTTGACTGAACAACCAGAATGAATACTTACCTTGCCTCCACTACATCCCAGGTTAATGTCTCTAAATCAAGAACATGGAGGTCGTTTAGAAGATTCCTGCTACTGTTTTCTCCACCAAACATTAAGATTTTGGAACCAAAAAGAGTTGCTGAATGTCCAGAACGAGCAATCTGAAATATTACAAACTCAATAAGCAATATGATCAAGATCATTTTGAAGGGTGAAGTGTAAGCAAAAAAAAAAAGAAATTTGAATGGCATAAACGTGGAAATCCAGATCAAACCACTAAAAAAAATTGGCAAATACCGGAACATTTCCAGAGGTCTCCAAAACACTCCATGTTTGTGTTTCTAGATCGACACAATGAACTGTAAGGACCATAATAAGAGAGTAAGGTTCGAGAATCCAATTATTAATATGCTGCAGCATAAAAACGCAGAGTGATTCTTTGCATCACAGCATTGAGATCATAAAGGGATGACACAATCACATGGACAATAATTAAGTTCATAGAGCACAAACCCATAATTCTATCAGATGATCCTTTCAAATTTCCACCAAGCACGACAAGTTTCTTATCCCATTTGACCTAGCGATTAAAATTACCAAGCAGTCCATCAGGTAACTATAGATGAATCAACATAAGTATGATATGGGGCATGTAACAATTGTACCAATAAACACGCCTGGAATGCTTACCATACTATGCCCTGCAATAGGTGGAAGAGACTCAACTAAGCCACCATTGCCTTCAGAATTCTCAACACCAGGATTTATTTGAAGTTTAAGACTGGACCACGACAAATTGCCAAGGTCCAAGACCTGTTTATAGACAAACGACAATGAATCCAATGAAGAGGAACATAAACCAACTTAGCCAACCTTGGTTAAGTCTAAGACCTGAATATCAGAGAGATACCGGCCATTACGGCTTCCACCGACAATGTAGAGTTTTTGATCAACAACTGCTGCAGCATGCTAAATAGACGAAATCACCGAAATTAGTTTACACAACAAATCTAACCCAGAATCTACAACACTCACAAAATTATTACAAGGAAACCTACGCAATTCGACGTCAAAACAACAACTCACCTTATAACGAGCTGCCGGTCGGGAACCAGACACCGGCAATGCAACCCACTGATCATAGGCCAATCCCCAGCGCCAATTATCGACATCCATTTCCTATCTGTAGATCATTCGAGGAAACAAAATTCGCAATTCAATACAATTCCAATAACTACAGTCACGAAACATGACGCAATTGCACCACAGAACAGGATTCGATAAGTAAGGGAAAATCAAATCAGAAAAGAGCTACAGTGCTAGAAAAAAGAAGAAATTGGAGTACCCAAGGATGATTGCCGGTGAATTACTGCAACCGGCGAAGATGTAAGAGTGTTATCGCCACGGAGATTTGCAAAAACGATCGACGACAACAATGCGGAGATGGCGGTGAAATAGATCGAGCAAAAAACAAAAAACTACGCCGTCCGATCTGATTCAGAGAAAGAGAAGTAAGCATATACGGAGCGGACCATCGTAAAGGTCAAACTAGAGAAGTATCTATTTTTATTATAAACTTTAATTTTTTAAATATATATATATATATATATATATATATATATATATATATAATTTTTATCTTTTAGTAGAAATTTATTATTAAAAAAATGTTGACAAAACATTTTTTAGGCATATTTAAATTGACAGATTTTTAAAAAAAACCAATAAAATTTTAAATTGTTAAATTTTGTGGGTTTTCTTTAGATTTATTCAATTATAGCACAAACCCTAAAAATTTAGAGACAAATTTTGTAACTAATATGTTCGTGTGAACTTGGTTCACGCTTCCACCCTTGCACGTTCTTCTACCTTTTTGTAATATAGCCCTCGTGATCGGTACGATAGCCACTTGATTCTTTAGCCAATTTATTCTTGAGATGACGTAATATAGCCCTCGATCAAGTTGTTACCCGACCCACTTGATTGGTTAGCCCAGTTTATCCCCGAGTCAACGAGAAACAAGAAACGAAAAACGGAAACGTTACCGAAACAAGTTTTCAAGCACTTGAACTCTCTCGAAATACTCTTTTTTCTCCTCCTCTAAGCACTTTTACTTTCCCTTTTAGCTGCCTATTTGTTCTTGTCAACCTTGCAACTTCATTGTTCATCTTAGATTGCAATGCACTAGTTGATTGTTTAGCACAAGGAGAGGTTTCTACGTCCTTATAAAGGATGTTTTGTTCTCCTCTCTAACCGATATGCAATTTCACAATTTACCCCCCTTCGAGGTCCAGCGTCCTTACTGACACACCACCTCATATCCACCCCCTTCAGGGCTCAGCTTCCTCACTGACACATCGCCCAGTGTCTGGTTCTGATACCATTTGTAACAGCTCAAACACACCGCTAGTATATATTGTCCTCTTTGGATTTTCTCTTTCGAGTTTTCGCTCAAGGTTCTTAAAACGCATCTTCTAGGGGATGTGGCATGTAAAGAATGTTTCATTCCCCCTCCAACCGATATAGAATTTCACAATCCACCCTTTTAGGAGCCCAACGTCCTTGATGACACTCATTCCCTTCCCCTTCGGGGCCCAGCATTCTTACCGGCACACCACCTTGTGTCCATCCCTTCGGGGCTCAGCTTCCTCTCTAGCACATTGCCTGGTGCCTGGCTTTAATATCATTTGTAACCGTTCAAACCCACCACTAACATATATTGTCCTCTTTGGGTTTCCCTTTCAAGCTTCCCCCCAAGGTTTTTAAAACGCAGATGCTAGGGAGACGTTTCCACACTCTTATGTTCCGTTCTCCTCTTCAACCGATACAGGATTTCACATGCTTCTAGCAGTGTCATATCTTCTCTTAAACAACTTAGTACAAGCATAGATTCTGAAGCTTCTCTCCCATTTTCATCAAAAGTTGTAGCCATTTGCTTCACGAGGTGCACGAGTTTTCGCTTGAGATTGTCGACTTCAGCCGTTTTCTCAAGTACATCTGGTTCAACAAGCTATCATCCCAAGCAAGGTTGGTATTATGTCCTATAATTTTGCTACCCAATGCCTAGAGTTCTTCATTCATGAACTTCCCTTTTAAACTACTCAAGTGTTTCCTTCAATGATCATGTAAAGCCATGTTTTGCTTCCTCAGCTCATTATTTGATATCAACAGTAAAGAATTCTCCTCCATTATGCTATCAACTTTCTTGGAAATGATATCATTAGCTACCTCCTTATGAGCTTCCAACTTCTTTTTACAATGCTTCAAGCCTTCAATCTCCCTTTCCTTCAGCATGTTTTCGTGTCGTAAGCTGTCGATAACGGCGTTCGGATCATTAAATCTGAATTCCATATGCAGCTGCCTCTCAACTCCTGGAGTAAAACATGCTTCAAACAAATCCTTGAGCTGGATAAACTTGTTGAAGATAACCTCAGCTTGTTCTTCCGCATCGAATCATTCATTTTCGCAACGTTCGATACGACGAACGTCGCTTTTGTAATCCAAAGATGCCATCAATGAAGAGGAAATCTGAAAACAGTCGAGTGATCTTCATGACTCATTAGTTACTAGTCACTGTTGAGGATTATTGGGAGTGAGTTCTACATTAGTTAATTTAGTAGAAGATCATGGGTTTATAATTGAGGAATACTATCTTCATTAGTATGAGCTCTTTTGGGGAAGCTCAAAGCAAAGCCATGAGAGCTTCTGCTCAAAGTGGACAATATCATACCATTATGGAGAGTCATGATTCCTAACAGTCACTTCCACCGATCCCAAATTGGTTGGAGAGGGGAACAAAACATTTTTTTTTATAAGAGTGTGAAAACTTCTCCCTAACAGACACATTTTAAAACTATGAGGCTGACGACGACATGTAACGGGGGCCAAAGCGGATAATATATGTTAGCGGTAGACTTGGGCTGTTACAAAAAGCTGTTGAAATTGATACTCCAACAACCGAAACTTGATAGCAGTTTTCGACACGGCTGCCTGCTGGGATAGCAACTTTGAGTGCCATTGATATCTTCTTGTGCTTGTGCTGAATCTTTGAAGACCCCACTAGCTTAGTTCATCACAGGGATTGATATCTATCTCTCAAGTCACTATAGTACTTTGATGCAGTTCAATAGTAAAGAAAGAAAGATTGTTATTCATTGAAAAGATAAAAAGTAAAATCTGATCCCATTATTGTGTTTACTTTAACAGTGGAGTTAATTATAGCTGCCATTATTAAGAGCATGAAAAAGAACATAACTTTATACAAGAGTAAGTGTCTTTGATCATGTAGCTTTGCTAATCTTTGGATCACGTGAAATCGAAACCGAACCCAAAATGTATCCTTTTCGATTCCTCGTGCTTTGTATCGTGTCGGTTTTCATTGTTTTTAGGACATGTCTTGCCTAGCTAGCTAATAGATTCAGAATTTAACTAAGATCGAGCTTGTCTTTGATCATGTAAAGCTAAACGTATCCTTTTGGATTCAGTATGTTTCTTGTCGTATCGGTTTTTGTTGCATTTAGGACATGTCTCTCCTAGCTAGCTGATAGATTCAAAACTGAACTAAGATCGAGCTTGTCTTTCATCATATAGTTTTGCTAATCCTTGTATCGTGTGAAACAGAAACGTATCCTTTTCGATTTCACGTGCTTTGTGTTGTGTCGGTTTTCGTTGCATTTAAGACATGTCTTTCTCAACTAGCTGATAGATTCAAAGCTGAACTAAGATCAAGCTTGTCTTTGATCAAGTAACTTTGTTAATCCTTGTATTATGCAAAACCAAAACAAAAACTGAAATCAAGACATATTCTATTTGATTCTGCATCCTTTATGTCGTCTTAGTTTTCGTTACATTTAGGACATGTCTTTTCCAGCTAGCTAGTCAATAGATCAAGCTCGTGTTGGATAACTTTGTTAATCCTTGTATCGTGTGGAACCAAAACAAAAACATATCCTTCTCGATTTTCGTTGTAGTTAGGACATGTCTTTCCTAGCTAGTACATAGATTCATATATTTTTTTTCAACAATTTCTAATCTTCAGTGAACTTCTCGACATAATTCAAACCTATATAAAATTCCAACGACCCGTCTGAAAAACAAATGGATTTTATAGGATTCTCGAGAAATTCTTCGATATCTTTCATAAGAGGTGAAGGGCATTTTCTTCTCACTTTCCATGAATAACTCGAATATCAAGGAATATCTAGGAATATAATCTCTATCTCCGAACTCGAACCCATTTAAGTGGAGGACCCTTTGAATGAATGTCTTGAAATGGGCCAAGTAATGGACTGGGCCCAAACCCAAGCCCACTTATCACATATATGGGCTGGGCTTTTCCATTCAGATCCTCTCTCTCTCTTATTATTATTTTTATTTATTTTGGGGAAATGATTATTTGGAAGAGAAAGGAGAAGAACGTGAGATTCACATGAAGAAGAAGGAATTGGATGAAATGGACAAAAAATAATCTGATTTGCATTAAGACAAACTGACAATCATTGATCTCAGTGCTACCTCTCTCTTCACCCATTTCTCCTTTTATTTATTTATTTATTTATTATTATTATTATTATTATTTTTTTTTTTTTCCTGAAAAAATTACTTTTTTTTTTATTTAAATAATTTTCTATAACTACCTTCCTTTTTATCATTATTTTTTAAAAAAAATATTTTGAAAAAATTTTATTTTTTAAATCACTTTTTTTTTAGAAGGCATGAAAAGCACTTTCAACCATGTAATAAAACACTAGGAAAAAAAATATATCATTTTAAGTGGTCCAAAAGTTATAATACGCCATACTTTCAAGGACAATGTAAAGTCTCGAGATTTCAATTTAGACCTCTAAAACACCCTTTTATGACTCTCTAATCGTGTAAAATGTACCTAACATTGTGGTCTACTCAAATTTATAAATTAATTTTGGAAAATTAATTTGTACCGAGATTTGAGTCTTAAACCTTTGAGTCGAGAGTATATGTATATATCTTAATCAACCAAACTATTTTTAGGGTTTATTGGTTCCTCGCTTTCGTGTATATATATATTAATCAGCTATGTTTAGGGTTCTGTTCCTTTCGAATGTATATATATTTTAACTAAGTTGAACTATGCTCAAATTGGTTATTGTTCTCAAGAAAAAAAAAAAAAATGTCTCTCTTTATGAGCTAGTATCCTTTTAATAAGGTTAGGGTTCACTGTTTTCTCCTTTTCCAAGGTATGTATCTTAACAAGTCGAGCTATGCTCAAATTGGCTGCTGTTTTGAAAATTAAAAAAAAAAATCTCTCGTTTCGGGCTAGTAATCTTTTAATAAGTTAAGCTATGTTTAGGGTTCACGGTTTCCTCTCTTCCAAAGGTATATATATCTCAACAAGTTGAGCTATACTCAAATTGACTGCTATTTTGAAAGGAAAAAAAAAAAAAAAAAAAAAAAACATCTCTCTTTTCGAGCTAGTAATCTTTTAATAAGTTAAGCTATGTTTAGGGTTGAGTGTTCCCTCTCTTCTAAAGGTACATATATCTGAACAAGTCGAGCTATGTTCAAATTGGCTACTGTTTTTTTTAAAAAAACAAAACATCTCTCTTTCGGAGCTATTAATATACAGTGTTCCCTTTCTTCCAAAGGTATATGTATCTGAACAAGTTGAGCTAGGTTCAAATTGATTACTATTTCAAAGACAAAAAACGGTCATTCTTAGACGCTAGTAACCTTTTAAGGTTCCTTGGAGATGAAGACAGCATGAGTATAGCTTGAAAATCAAGCTCCCTCTCTCTCAGGCTCACTCACTCATAATTGAGTAATGTAGAGAGGGAGAGAGAGAGAGAGAGAGAAGCATTAAAAAAGTGGTGGGTAATTGAGTTTCCAACCTCTTTCGACAACATTAAGTTCTAGAAACATGATCAAATATGGATCCAACCACTACTAATTATGTATCTATCTTTAAGGCAAAAATAATATGCCCTTCTAATATGCTTCACACCATACACCAATTAATGTAAACCTCCCTATTCTAAATTCATCATCATCTATATATGCTACACATTTTCATTTATGTCCCTCATTAATTTACCTAACCTATGCTCCAAATTTCCTAAAATTATTATTTTTTTTCATTTAATTTATGTAAAAACCTTGAATATAAAATTACTCCCTTCATCATGTTTTTTTTCTTTACACTTGGTAATAGTGATGATGATATGCTTTTTAATTTAAATTTAATTTAATTACCTTAAAATGTGTTGTCATGAGGACTATTGTGTCTAAAAATCATATGAGACAATTTAATTTTACACAATTTCATTATATATTTGTCTACATATGAAACAATAATGAATGTGCATTACCATTATTCTCTCCTTCTATATATATATATGAAAAAATAGAAAATAAATTTGTGTTGAAAATATAAATGTGGGGTTCAATTAATAATGATTTATAATATTGACTTAATTGGTCAGCTAAAAGATAGGCACAGCCACTTGCTGAAATAGCACAATGAAAGTGCTATTGAACTATTCATGATAATTTACTCTAAAAGAAAATAAAAAAAAAAACCTAATATTATAAATAAATAAATAAATAAAGGATTTTAAAGCACTGAAATTAAATAATGTTGAGACATTAAATTTACCCCTTTTTTGCCTGGGGAAAGTTGTGGCCTACAATGGGACAAAATAAAATGCTGATCTAAAAATTAAAAATTAAAAATTATTATTAAAAAAAATATTCATGGAAATTCAAAATTTTGGCATCTCCCTCTCTCTTTTTTTTTTTTTTTTTTTTTTTTTTTTTTTTTTTTTTTTTTTTTTTTTTTTTTTTTTTTTTTTTTTTT